TGAGTTTCCTTCCATCAAAACAAAAGCGATAATCGCCATTGGCCTTCTTTACTAGTAATACTGGTGATGACCATGCACTACCTGATGGTTCAACTACATCAAGTTCCAGCATTTTATCTAATTCTTTATTTAAATGTGACAACATGTATGGTGACATCAAATATTGACGCTGTTTCACAGGCAGGGCATTTCCCGTATCAATGTGATATACCATTTTATCGGTTCTACCTAGGCTTCCATCTTTAGACAATTTCCTGAATTCGTCCACTATATTATCAGCTAAAATTTTCTGATTTTCAGACATATCGGCTAAGCCTTTAACTCGATCAGCAGTGATAGAATTGTCGTTCAATAATCCGACTGAAGCGATGTCGACATTAGTACTATCATTTACTTCCCAAGTATTATTCCGAAAATCAACTTTCAATTGAAATTTATTGCAGAAATCACTGCCCAAAATAAAAGAATAATTAATAGATGGAACCACCAAGAATGAAATTATCTGACATTTATTTCCTGCGCAAACTGGAATATCTACTGTGTCCCTCACAAATTGTTTGACCCCGTCTGCCGTGAATACAAATTTATGTTTAGGTTTCCTGCCCTTAATATTCAAGGAATCAATAAAATCCACCCCATCTTTCCCTATGGTACTACTACTGGCACCCGAATCTAATAATGCAGTAATTTCTTTTCCAAAAAGAGACACTTTAACATAAGGTCTATTATCTGAACTCTGTTTAGCAAAAATAGGAGCTGACGAAATTTGTGAAGTCTTAAAATAATTTTGGAAATAATGTTTGGCAAATTTCAAAATATTTTCCTGTTCAGCAGTACGACGAAGAGAATGTTTGGCCTTTATGCTAGGAGGCAAATCACGGCCAGTAATATCTTGCTTTACCTCCGGGTTCCGTTTCCCGAACATTTATCACAATCTTTTCTAGTTACACCTTGATTCCCACAAGTAAAACAAAATATACTGCGTTTCTTCAAGCAGTGGCGAAAATGGTGATTTTCCTGTTTGCAATTATAACAGGTCATTGTTTTCCGAGGAATACTATTACTTGCTGTACCGCTAGTACCAGGATTATCTGAAAAACCATTTGCTGAAGAGGCTGATGTCCTAACATTATTATCCTTGAATTTTGAATTCCATGATTTTCTTGGAAATTGCTTATCTTTGACTTCCACACTACAATTATTAAATTCGTAGTCCAAATCGCTAGCTATAGAATTGACTTGGGATTTTTTAGAGTTAGATTTACCATGAAGATCCTTATGAACATCTTCCAAAATTTTCACATCATGAATAAGCTCTTCGACAGTATTATATTTATTTAGTGCCAGTTTTTCAACAAATTCTGGTCTAAGACCTTTTTGAACCCACTTAACTTTAGTAAAAACTGCTGGTTTGATATTTAACCGAGAAAAAAGTTGTTCCATTACTGCCACATAAATAACTACCGATTCGTCCTGGAATTGCTTACGGTGTTTAATGGTTTCCCAAAGTTCTTCATCGTAATCTTTACTCAGAAAATCTTGTTCAAGTCTTCTTGATAAAGTATCCCAATCAGTAACAATTTTCATATCTTTGACATGACGGAGCCATAGCAATCCTTTACCAGAGAAAAGATCAACTGCAGATTCATACAGCTGTTGTTTGGAAACATGTCTAGCTTCTGCAAGCTCGTATACCCTTTCCAAAAATGACTTAACTCCCATAGACTTATTTGTACCATCAAACTTCAAATCCCACTTATATAATGACACCGGTTTTGAATTATTCCCAAAAAAACTCTGATGTAACCCTGAAGGAGAAGAGTGAGCCATAGGTGGTAATACTGTAGGAATATCATCCTTTAATCGTTCGTCTAACTCCCCTTCTAGAGCTAAACATGTTGCATAACACTCATTTTTATATGCTAGATGGGTAGGGTCATCACCATTAACAATCCTATTAATTCTGAAGTTGACATGAGTTAACCTAGATTTCAATCTACCATATAAAGGATCACTTTCAGTGCCTTCAAAATCCAAAATTAATTGTCTAATATTGTCTAGGGTAGCATCAATTTGAAGTTTTTCAGTTGCAAAATCATAAGTTGGGTCTACTAGTTGAGAAGCTGAAATGTTACTCTTTTTTTCCCTTTTTATAGTGGCAGATAAAATTTTTCGCTTTTCGTTCATGTCACGATTAGTTATGATTCCTCTGAGCTTAAGTTCATAATTAACCTCTTCAATGAGTAAATGTCGGGGTTTCATTTCAGATTCCATCTCAAAAAAAGTTAAGGTTCAGCTGTAGGTCAGTCCTCAAGATTGAAACCAGCAAGACTCTCTAATCTCCCAAGAGTGATTTAACTTTACTTGAATCCCCAAAAAGAATTTGAAGAAAGTGACAAACTAACTAAAACTAACTCTTTTTGGTACTTCAAATTCAATTTCTTGAAATATAAAATGTAATTAAACCTGTTTCAAGCTGGTCTACTTAAAGTCCATAAATTCAATAGATTTTACTCTAAAATAACACTCAAATCAGATAAAACTAGGCTTTAGACAAGGGTCCAATTCAATTGAATTGCTGAGTTAACAGTTGGCATTATATGCACAAGAAATTAGGAAAAAAAACTCTAACCAGCTAAGGTTACCTATCATGCACCAGGGAAGTCCCTAGGAAGCAAATGCACCATGTAATTCTCCAATTCCGCCACTCAATATATTAGTACTTGAAAAGAAACACTCAGTACACCAAATAAATGCAATTTACTCCAGTCACAAAAATTGAACCTCCTTTGGAACTTAAAACCTCTAAAATAAGCAAAACACCAATCCCAAAGCTCTTCCAAGTATGAGATGACTAGACTATTAAAAATTTTGCTCTCCCTGTAGATGAAAAATTATACCAAATTGTGTATTTCAAATATTTACTACTCATAACATAAAATTTTGGGCCCCTCACGTTGTGCGACAATTATCTATAACGCTTTCTTGCTATTTTATGGATGTTGTATAATAAATAGTAAATTGCAAGACTAGTGTGTAGTTATGTTATAGGCACGGCAGCTCTGTTGTTTGGGAGCAGGCTGTGGATTCAAGAAGTTATGTATTTTTAGGGACCTTTTGCCAGGCGCCACTCAGTTTTCAGTAGTAGGAAAACTAAGAAAATTTAATATTGAGGATAGAATTTGAAAATCTAATGAAACACCAAATAACTATACCAGAGAAATATAATTCTTTAGATGTTTGAAGCAGATTCATGTGACACACAATTTCAATTATACCTTCAGTAACACCTTACTGTGCAGAAAAATGATTAAATCACTTCCTCAGTGTTGTATAAGTTAAATGCCTAAGCAGAACAAAAAAATGTAGATATCTCAAGATATTCCCCTTCTATATAGGCCTATATTTCCGGTTCACAGAATGACTGGACTCCCATTATGATTTAGTTAAGTGGTATTTCAAATATAAAATTAAAAACTGTTGTTATGAGTAGTAAGACTTGAATAGTGGTTCAACTTGGTGCTGCGCACTACTGGATCATCAGGAACAAAAGTATAATCAAAATTGATCTGACCTTAGTGTCTGCGGAGCATGTGGTGCTGCTCTGTCCTTCACTGCCAGTGAACTCCAACTCCAAAATTCCAGCTGGTGCAGTTAAAAAAAAAGGTTTCCTGGACTTCCTAGTCACCCTTCAACATCGTGGACGGCACAACAAGGTGGGATCAAGAGAATAGCCCCAAAATTGAGAAGTGGCCCCAACAGCACACTATCTTGAAGTGGAGACTTTCTAGTCACCTTGTGGCATCATGGATGGCTCAGGATGGGATCAAGAGGAAAGTTCCAAAATTATCAGGAGGCTATACTAGCTACACGCTAGATATTGGAAGAAAGCTGTGGCACGCTACGATGATGGCGTCCCCCCAGGACATCCACCATGAAAAGGCCAATAAATCTGTTGGAAATATACCAAATTGAAAACAGTGAATCGGTTTATGGACTCTAAAAATGCTCACCTTCCGTCTGGAATGGCCGAAAATAAGGGTATCAAACCCCACAAAGGTTGGATGAAAAATGGCAAAATTCGTGCCCATCTTGCCTACTCTTGGTAGAGAAGAAGGAAATCAAGAAATTTCAAGAGTTTCCTGTGCACTCAGAAAACAAAACCGTTTATAAAAACATGTTTCAAATTATAAATGATTCACTGCGCAAGTACAGTTGGAATCTTGACTAGTTGATAAATATTACCAACAGAGAATATTGAAATACCTAGATTATTTAAGGAAAATGTTCTAATGGGCTTTTGCCCGTTTTTAAAGAATTGTGAAGTTAGGTCTGACACAGAACTATAGTAACATTGGTCCAACCAAAAATGTTGCCAGCAGGCCGAAAATAAAAGAAGAAGGTTATAGATTCACAAAGGCTATGGACGAAGCGAAATAACCTAACAATCCACATAACCAATTAAACTGTCAGACTGAAACTGAAATACGAATATAAACAATTACAACTACTTCAAATATAACTTCCTGTGGATCCATAATTAAATTGAAAACAGCAAGGACATATCATTTTCCAACAGGTTTGTCAAACTGTGCATTTCAACTTTTATCCATTCAATCAGTCAACAGCAACTGGAAATGTAAATCATTTATCATTACAGCTAGGAAGAAGGACAGATCACCACCACTGCTATGGACACCTGAAAAATACAACCCTGAAACTAATAGACAGTCACACCAGGAAGACAAAGGAATCTTCAAGTTCAGCTTACAAGAGGTCCAACGCCAACAGAATATCCAATCCACCTGCCATAACAAATGTAAAGTGTTGCAGTCACATAATCTATTGAGTATCTTACATCATCATAATATACTGGGTGTTACTCTTGGTTAACTTAATAACAAACCCATATAATAAAGGTAAAAAAGGAAAATCACATGTTACAAGCGATGGAAACTTCACTCATAGTGTAAGAGGCATATATTATCCAATCTTGACAGATGGAGAAGTGCAAGAAGGAACCGAGGACCGTATAGTGTACCAGTCCTTAAGAACCGCCAAGATGTACATGCTGGAACACAACAAAACAAAGCTAGCCTCACCACAAGTCGAAGGAACTATAGGAACTACGCTTGTGAGAATGCTAGAATTTTTATACGCAGACACCAATGTGGAGATCACAGTGTACATGGGAAACGAAGGACAAGAGAACACTAATTCTCGAATGGGGCGAAAACTGCTAGTGAAAGTAGACGAAACACCTTACCAAGTGGAAAAAACGTCCAAAAGAGAAGGAAGAAGCCGACACAGGAGGCAATTCTTGTGAAAATAAAGGATACATTATACGCTGACTTATTGAAGACCATGAAACAAGCAGTAAATCCCAGTGAAATTGGAGTAGATGTGAGTGGAATCGAGAAAACCAGAAGTGGGGATCTACTTCTGACAGTGCGAAACGGTCCAGCTAAAGCAGAAGCCTTGAAGAACGAAATAAGCAGGAAAATTCAGGGGACGACAACATCCCTCCTTATTAATAAAAAAGTTTTACACATAAAAGATCTGGACGAAGTGGTAACGGAGGAAGAAATAAGGAGAGCCTTATGCGAAGCTATTTCTGTGAGTCTCACCACAAATACAGTTGAAGTGCGTGCGTTACGACCTGCATTTGGGAACAGACAAAATGCTACACTGGTGATGACTGAAACAAATGCCCAAAAAATCACACAACTGGAAAGAATCAAAGTAGGATGGCCAATGTGCAAAGTTACCGAAAGGAGAACAGAAACGAAATGCTTCAGATGCTGGCAGTATGGCCATACCAAAGCAAAATGTGATGGCCCCAATAGAGAGAACTTATGCATAAAAAGTAGCAAAGAGGGACATAGAGCAGCAGACTGTAAGGACACTCCATACTGCATACATTGTAACCAGGAGGGGCACCAATCCGGAAGCATGAGATGCCAAAAGAACAATAGAAGAAGAAACATGGAGACATACCAAAATAATGACAAAAGCCAGCATGAAGCTCCTACAAATTAATATAAACAGGAGCCGTCCTGCTCATGATATGGCACTGGCCACTGCTAAGGACATGGGAGTTGGGGTATCAATGCTCAGTGAACCGAACCGAAACGCAATGAAATTTCGAAAAGACTGGATTTACGATGAAGAGCTAGATACCGCTATTAAAGTGATGGACTAGGATATTGCGATAAAGCGTCAGGGAAGTGGATCTGGTTTCACGTATATCACGACACCTGAGGTGACAGTATATAGTTGCTACGCTTCTCCAAATCAAGATATTGATGAACTTGAAGAAACACTGCAAGAAATAGAAAGACGAATTAGGCTCAATAAGGAGAAAGCTATTGTGGTCGGAGACTTCAATGCGAAATCCCCACAGTGGGGCATGAATCTCACAGACAGAAGAGGCCAAGTTGTAGTTGAATGGATTGCTGAAAATGATCTAGTTATCGTGAATAAAGGTAACAAGCCAACATTTCAAAGGCAGGACTACTCCTCCATTCTAGACCTAACTCTTGCAATGCATGACATGATTAGCAGGATCATGAAATGGGAAGTCATCGATGATGAAACTCTAAGTGACCATAATTATATATTTTTCGAATTCCTGGGGTGTACGAAGATACCAAGACAAAATAATCCTCAACAAACAAAGGGTTGGCAAGTGAAGAAACTTGACAGGCAAAAACTACAGAGCGCACCTGACGAAACTACCTGTGATGATGACATGACGAGCGCTGATGGTTTTTCGAATTTATCAAAACAAATCTGCGATGAAGCTATGTCAAAGAAAAAACAAATATGTAGAGGAAAACCAGTATACTGGTGGAATGAGGAGATCGCGGAGCTTCGCAAGGAGTGCATAAAAAAACGGAGAACGCATTAACGAAATGCGAGAAGAAACTTGCCTGAAGATAATCGGCGCATGTGGGAAGATTACAGTGAATGTAAGAAACAACTGCGCAACAGTATCAAGAGAGCAAAGAAATCCAGCTGGAGAGAAATCTGTGATGATATTGACTGTGATAATCGGGGGGATGGTTACAAAATCGTCATGAAGAGATTGAGTGGTTTCCCGCCGAGGCCACAAATGACAATGGAAATGACTGATGAAGTCGTTAACCATCTCTTCCCTGTACATAACCAAGTGATATGGAACTGTGATAATACTAGGATATTTAGAAATTTTACATCAGAAGAGCTGCTCTTGGCGAATAATAAAATGAAAAACGAAAAGTCACCCGGACCAGGAAACATTCCACCTGAGATAATAAAGGAAGTCACACTCAAGAAAACAGAATATGTATTGAAAGTATACAAAGAACTCGCGAGAAGAGCCGATTTTCCATCAGCTTGGAAAGTTGCAAGACTAGTTCTGTTAAGAAAAGGGGACAAACCGATAGAAAATCCTGCTTCATATCGACCACTCAGCCTCCTGGATGCAGAGGGTAAGTTATATGAGCAGTTAATTCTGATCAGACTCAAGGATGAACTGAGAAGAACGCGAGGCCAATCGGACAGGCAGTATGGATTCAGAGAAGGCAGACAGACTGTAGATGCTGTCAACGCCGTCGTGGATATTGCTAAGAGAGCAGCAGAATACTCACCCCAGCACCGAAGGCTATGCGCAATAATCACACTAGATGTTAAAAACGCATTCAACAGCGCAACGTGGCAATTTATCCTAGATGAATTGAGAAGACGACGAATAGAAGAGAGCCTCATAAACATAATCGCTTCCTACCTGTCGAACAGGAACATAATTCTGGAGGCAGAAGATACAATGACACTTAGGCCGATAAACAGTGGCGTACCGCAGGGATCCGTGCTGGGCCCAACGTTGTGGAACATCCTCTATGATGACCTGCTATAAATGGATCTACCTGAGGGAGCCACAATGATAGGTTTCGCGGATGATGTAGCGGTGGTAGTAGTTGCGAAGAATGAACCAGTTCTGATGAACACTGCGAACACTGCCTCACAGCTAGCTGCGAACTGGATGGAAGGAAGACGGCTCCAGCTGGCGCCAGAAAAAACTGAAGCAGTGCTCTTAACGACGAGAAGAAAGATCAACCCGATAGAATTCAACATCCAAGGTATCATAGTTGAACCCAAGAAGGCGTTGAAATATCTGGGAGTGTGGTTGGATACAAAACTCAACTTCGCCGAGCATGTTAAGAAAACCACCGAGAAAGTCGAAAAAACAATAACGGCCTTAGCAAACCTCATGCCCAATATTGGAGGACCCAGAGCGTCAAGAAGAAGAATATTAGCAAGCGTGGCCCACTCACAGATGCTGTACGCAGCGCCTGTCTGGCACACCGTTACAGGAAATGAAAAGCTCACGCAGAAACTGCTCAGACTCCAGAGGTTACTATCAATAAGGGTATGCAGTGCATACAAAACAACATCAACGGAAGCGGTAGGAGTTCTAGCAGGAAACTTATTAATAAAGGAGAGATCGGAGAGATATAACGGCGTGAAGCAGAAAACAGCCAGGGAAACCTCATCACGAGATGGCAAGAAGAATGGAGAAATGGGACCTACGGTCGATGGACTTTCAAACTCATACCCGACATTCAAACATGGATTAATAGACCTTACGGCGAAATGGACTACTTTCTCACCCAAGCACTCTTGGGACATGGATGCTTCAATCAATATTTTTTTAAACGCAACAGAGCAGATACTGATCGGTGCATATATTGCAATGACGTCGATGATGCGGAGCACAAGCTTTTCCTATGCCCAGAATGGAATGACACTAGGATGGAATACCTACGAGTGACAGGAAAAGAATTTAAGAATTTAATCTGTTGAATATGATGGAGAGCCTAGTAACAGCAGAGGAAACATGGAAACAAGCATATAAAATTGTACGACAAATAATTGGGAACAAGGAAATGGAAAGTAGACGATGAATTCAAATACAGCCTTCACACTGAAGTAATGCGCGCGAGCGGATACCAGTGTGAAGTGCAAGGCGAGAGAGGAGGGGTTTTAGTCGGTAAGAATCCGACACTACCCTACAGGGTGTCTTATGTAAGATTTTCCTTCCTCTCTCTCTCAGAAAAAAAAAATTGTGCAAGTTGTGTGGGTCATATTCGCACGGAAGTCGTCTTATATGGGCATGGCAAACTCGTCTGCTCCAATAGTGGTCATGTGAGATGATTGAGATGATTGCATAGAGAGATATAGTGTGCACAACGATGAAGTCGATGTATCCCCATCTGCCTATTGTACTCGCTATATACCCTTCAAAGTCGTCTCATACGGTCACTACCATCGTATCTGCTCAAGTCGGAGTTTCTTGTACTGCAAGCTGTGTGAGTTATACCCGCTTGGGAGTCGTCTTATATGGTCAATGCGAGATTGTCTGCTTCAATAGTGTCAATGTGAGATGATAGGATAGAGAAATATAGTGTGCACAACGATGATGTCGATGTTTCTTCATTCGCCTATTGAACCCGTTATAATCCCTTCAAAGTCGTATTATAGGGTCACTGCAATCGTTCCTGCATCAACTGTATGCATGTCAGATGCTAGACTGCAGAGTTACAGTGTAAACATTGTCAAAGTCGAGGTTTCTTGTTCTGCAAGTTGTGTGCGTTATATCTGCTCAAAAGTCGTCTCATATGGGCATTGCGAACCCGTTCGCTTCTATAGTTTCCATGTGAGACGATAGGATAGGAAGACAGAGTGTGCACACCGATGGAGTCGATGTAACTTCATTTGCCTATTGAACTTGTTATATACCCTTCAGAGTCGTCTTATACGGTCACTGCCATCGTATCTGCTTCAACTGTATGCATGTCAGATGCTTGACGGCAGAGTTCCAGTGTAAACATAGTCGACGTCGAAGTTCCTTGTTGTGCGAGTTGTGTGCGTTATTCCCGCTTGGAAGTCGTCTCATATGGGCATCGGAAACTTGTCTGCTTCAATAGTATTCATGTGAGTTGATAGGATAGAGATATAGAGTGTGCACACCGATGCAGTCGATGTATCTTCATCTGCTATATACCCTTCAAAGTCGTCTTAAATGGTCACTACGATCATATCGGCTTCAATTGTATGCATGTCAGATGCTAAAATGCAGAGCGACAGTGTAAACATAGTCGACGTCGAAGTGTCCTGTTCTGCAAGCTGTGTGCGTTATACCTGCTTGGAAGTCGTCTCGTATGGTCATTGCAAACTTGTCTGCTCCAATAGTGTCCATGTGAGATGATAGGATGGAGTATACTGTGCACAACGATGAAGTCGATGTATCTTCATTTGCCTATTGTACTCGTTATATACCCTTTA